CCACTTTTAAAGGAGTCGTTTTCTTCAATTTTTGTGCTTCCTTTTCCAAGTTGTTGATGCTTTTTTCATAATTCTCTTGCTTAACTCTCATTTCTTTTCCCAGTTTTTCTTCTGTCTCTCTTACTTAATTTTTAAAATTCTTTTTGAGCTCTTCCAGAAGGATTTTTTGGGCTTGAGATCAATTCACATTCCCCTTTGAAGCTTCACATGTAGGCATTTTTGACATTGTTGTCCTCTTCTGAGTTCATGTTTTGATCTTCTCTGTTGCTATAGTAGCTTTCTATGGTTAGGGTTCTTTTTTTTTTTTTTGCTTTTCATTCATTTTTAAAAGTTGATTTCTGTTCCTCGGGTACAGGGGGCACTGTCCCAAGTTTTTTGTACTGGGGGCCAGGTTACTGACTTTCTGCACCGGGCCTTTGGGGCTGTTGGCTTGCCCCCTGTGTTAGGGTGTCCCGGCTTAGTCACTCCTGTACCTGAGGTATCAAGGTGCTAATTTTATGAGTATGGAGATTCATCAACTGTCAGCCCCATTAGTTAATAAACATTTATTAAGCAACTACTATATGGTAGATAGGGGCAGCTAGGTGGTACAGTTGATAAGGTGCCAGTCTTGGAATCAGGAAGACTTATCTTCGTGAGTTCAAATCTAGCCTCAGACACTTACTAGCTGTGTGACCCTGGGCAAGTCACTTCACCCTGCATGCCTCAGTTTCCTCATCTGTAAAATGAGCTGGAGAAGGAAATGGCAAACCACTCCAGTATCTTTGTCAAGAAAACCTCCAAATGGGGTCACAAAGAATGGGACACAACTGAAACGACTGAATAACAACAACTATGTGCAAAGAGAGCAAAGTTGCTGGCTTGTGCCTTGGCTGCTCACCTCGGTTCTGGGACTGGCAGTTTGCCTGCTGTGCTGGGGTTGTAGGCCTCACAACTGACCTGCTGAGCCAGGACCATGGCGCCTTGGTTGCTGATCTCTGCTGTGGCTAAGAGCATCCTGCTGGCTTGCCCAGACACCACCTGAGCTGTGCTGTGCTCCTGTCTTATCCAAGTAAGACAGACTTTTCCTGAAGTCCTTCTAAGTTATCTTGAGCTGCAAAATTATTTCACTCTCTTTTTGTGGATTCTGTCACTTCAGAATTCTTTTAGAGGCTTGATTAATGTTGTTTCCAAGGGAAACTAGGGAAAGCTCAGACAACTTCCTGGCTTCTCTCTGCCATCTTGACTCCACCATGCCCCACCCCTCCCCTCCCCACACACTCCAGCATCTTTGCCAAGAAAACTCCAAATGGGTTCATGAAGAGTTGGACAGGACTGAAAAACTACTGAACAACAACCACCCATTTATCTGAGTCACACTGAATTTTTTTCATAGGATGGTAGATTGAGAGCTAGAAGGGAACTCTATGGCCATTTAGTTCAACCCCTAATTTTTTTTTTGTTTTACTTTTTTGGTGAGGAAATCAGGGTTAAGTGACTTGCCCAGGGTCACACAGCTAGTATGTATCTGAGGCTGGATTTGAACTCAGGTCCTCCTGACTCCAAGGTCAGAGCTCTATTCACTGTACCACCTAGCTACCCCTCAACCCCCTAATTTTTTGATGAAGAAATGGTGACTCAGAAATTCAAACCCCATTTCTGGCACTTACTAGCTGGACAAGTCACTTAATCCCTCAGTGCCTCAAGTAATAATAACCCTAGGATTTATTTACGAGGTCATAGATGGGTTGCAATCTGTGTTAGTAAAAGGAATTCAAACACTGGGAGTTCCCTGTGCTGATTAACTCACAGATCCTTCTGTACTTAGCAACCAGTTTTCCCCCCAGTAAAAAGTGACATAAGTAAATACCTTCCTGAAAACCTTATTCTACAAAGTGTGTTATTGCTTCCTTAGAAGGAACTGCTGAAAGCCCTGACCAGTGTAATTATATCAGAATATTTCAAACATTTTCCTGTCCCCATGAATGAGAATCCAGTTTATAGAAGAAAAAACTCAGGGTCAGAGGAGGTGAATCACTTGGCCAAGTCACTACATCAAAAATCTCTAATTTTACGAGTGTGGAGATTCATCAACTGTCAGCTCATTAGTTAATAAACATTTATTAAGCAACTACTATATGGTAGATAGGGGCAGCTAGGTGGTACAGTTGATAAGGTGCCAGTCTTGGAATCAGGAAGACTTATCTTCATGAGTTCAAATCTAGCCTCAGACACTTACTAGCTGTGTGACCCTGGGCAAGTCACTTCACCCTGCATGCCTCAGTTTCCTCATCTGTAAAATGAGCTGGAGAAGGAAATGGCAAACCACTCCAGTATCTTTGTCAAGAAAACCCCAAATGGGGTCACAAAGAATGGGACACAACTGAAATGACTGAATAACAACAACTATGTGCCAGGCACTCCTCTGCTCTCTGGGAATGTAAAGAAAAGCAAAAGACAGTCCTTGCCTTTAAGAAGCTCATAACATAATAGGAGAGACAACAAGTAAACCAATATGTCCAAACAAGCTATATACAGAATAAATAAGAAATAATAGAGGGAAGGTATTAGAATCAAGAGGTTGATACGTTGATTAATTGTCAATTTGTTTTTCTCTTAAAAATTCTGCTGTAAGGGATGACTCTCTAGAAGGGAGAGGCAGGGATATATTAGAAAATTAAGTTGATGTAAAAGCAAGATATCTATAACAAAAAAAAATTGTAGCCATAGAATTGTCTCAGACTCAGAAAGGTGAAGTGATTTCTGTAGTCACACAGCTACTATGTATCAAAGACAGGATTTGAATTATTCAGCAAAAATGAAAATTGTTTTTGAAGAATTCCCTGCCCCATTCTGTCCTCTGACCTCCTCAGTACTAGACAGATTACTGGGCTCATTATGAAAGATTGGGGTGACTAATTATGGATTAATTATCTCTTGGGGGGGAAATTGGTCTTTGTGGTTATTTTTAAAAGCCCTTTGGGATAGTGGAGATTTTATGCTATAGAAAGAACTCTTCAAGATGGTCAATGTCAAATTTCCTGGGTGCAGATGACACTGGTGTCTGCTCCACTGAGAGGCTTTTTGGCTCTGAAGGGCCCATTTGTGTTTTTTAAGTCATTCAGGAATCTGAGACTGAAGCTACCTACTTACTCCTAGGGAATCTGAGGAAGCTCTGAAATAGCTGTCTTCCAGGAGAGAAGCAAGACTACTCTCTTTGTTCAAGTTTCCTCCTGGTCTCCTGACCTGGAAGCTGTGATTGAGGCCATTCCTGACTGTTCTCACAATATGGCCCCTCGACAGCTCAGCTACAGATTATAGCTGGCTCCACTGGGAACAGACAGGGAGTTTTTTTTTTTCCTCATTTTTTATGATCCCTATCTGTCAAGGCACCTGGGCATCCATAGGGAGAGCTGTCACAGAAATAGATGAAGGAAGACAGAAGAGGGTGGGGAGGGGGAGGCCAGAGAAAATGTCATAAATCTCACAAACACACTTGCAGAGATAATTTAGAAAATTGCATGTGTGTGCATGCAACACATGCTCCAAGCAGATTCAGTGAAACTAAAATGACACTATAGAAGGCATGTACAGTATAGGATATATCCAATTTCTTAGTGTAAAAAGAGCTAACAACTGGACTTTAGCATCTTTAGGGGGACCAAAGGAGTGTTGCTAAGTGTCAAGGGATTTCTAGAGCTCTTGGTAGTTGCAAGGTGCTTCAAGTGCCCTTAATAGTTTAAAGAATGGTGAAGGGTCACTTTTGCACAGGGATTTCCCTTCCATCTCAGGGAAGATTTAAGTTAAAATGAAACTAAGGAGTTTCTGCTGGCCTCATGACCCCATATTCACACACTATTTCTCACCTCAAACTTACCTCCAGGTTTCTAGGGTTGCCTTTGCATTTTAAAGATTTTTTTAAATCCCCTCTCTTTCCTCTACCTTTAGCCTCCCTAGAGTTTTGAACCCTATTATTTCCTCCCACCCTTTCCTTCAGCAGTTTCTAGAGGCAATATTCAACTGACCTCGGGTTACTAAGCTCCAGAGGGTGCCTGTGCAAGGGACTGATCAAATGTTTCTTTCTCTTCACACTGGCAGGACTAGAGAAAGCAGCCACTTCTCCCAGTTTTCTCTCTTAGCTACAGGTTGCAAATGAATTATAGCAGCTTTCAGGTTAGGCCGTTACTGCTTAAAGAACGAAACTGCTTAATTTTGCACTGTGACTCCGTGCTTTCCATTCAGACCCTCTATGAGGTTGCTTATTCCACGGCTTTCCTTTTATTTGCTAACTCAACATTTCCTGATAATAGCTTCCAATTTTAAGACCAATTATGATCATGAGAGTTATCACCATCACATTCGTTCATTATAGACACTTTGCAGGGGCCATTCTTGCTTTGCAGAGCAGGGAACATCTTTCTTTGTTTTTCCTTTTAGGTAGCTCTTATTAAAAAAAAAAAAAGACAAGGAAAAGTACTGAATTGGTTTTCTGGCATCACCAAAGGAGAAACGTATCTACAATCTTTGACCTTTCTTCCTTTTTCTTTCACAGTTAGTGTCCTAGAGGCTTAAGTATCCCGTCTTTCCCTTCTTAGCCTCAGCATCCAGATACCTGCCTCCACCCCCTCCCCCTTCATCTTCCTCTCAGTAACAAGCCCAGGTGGGAAGGCAAGCGGAGTTCCTGCCTGGCTCCGGAGCTGGGGAGGTGACGACACAGTCGGTCCCAGGCGGCAGGTTTGACAAAAGTGCAGGGCAAACTCTCCCAGAAGAAAGTAAACAGGGGGTACCTGCCAACTTCTCACCTGACTCCCGTCTCTCTTCCCCGGGAGCACTGGGGTTCGAGAAAGCGGCCCTGGGTGCAGTACGGCGCGGGTCGCTGCGGACCGCTGCCCCTGGCAGGGGCCACTCTGGCCCCTTCCTCCTTCTCCCTAGGGCTTCGCGCGTGAGCCACTGCGAGGGCGGGGGCTACTCAAGGTGCTAGTGAGTGGCAAGTAGAGAAGTGGAGCCTAGCGCAGACGTACCTTCACGAAGAGCTCAATTTCAGGGTCCTTGCTGTCCCCGTTAGCAGAAGCCGAGTCAGTCATGTTGTCATAGGCAGGAGCCACTGCCCGTATCCTGAGAGGTGGCCACTTCAACAACACCTGGATGCGCTCTCTCTCCCTCCTTCCTCAATAGCTCCCACCGAAGCTTTCTAAAACATTCTAGTTTCCCAGCTGGGGAAGATCTTCCGTGGCAGAGCTCCCACCCACAAAGAGAGGAGCCAGGCTACCAAAGGAGAAAGGGAAAAAAATGAACCCGTGGTGCTGATAACAGTTCCAGGGTGCAACAAGTGCGGGGCCGTCTCTGTTAGGTCACTGTATCCTCATCCGTCAGCGCTGCAGAGCTCCCAGGCGGCCCAAAATAGCCAGGAACACAGGAGGGCGGGGCTAGCAGGCAGTGGGAGGAGGAGGAGGAGACACTGCCAGGGCTGCACCTTAGTCACTGGCTGGGTCCTGGATCGGCGCTCGACCCCCCAGCTGGGTTGCGCATCCAGGGTGCAGCCCCTTTAAGAGAAAAGACTGGGCTGCAGGGAATGTGTTGCGCCCTCCTTCCTTGGGAGAGGAGGGAAAAAAAGAAGAGGGAGATAAACTTGGGTGGGTGAAGAGGCAAGGGGAATGGGTGGGGGGCGGGAGAGAAGACGTGGAAGAGAGAAGATGAGCAAAGCAAGAAGAGAGGAGAGAAGTAAAGAGGAGAGGGAAGGAGAGAGCTAGGGCAGAGGAAAGGAGAGATAGAGATGGTTTTCAGGTTCTTATGTTTCTTTTATGAAGAGTTTCTTCAGGACAGCAGAGTACTAGTGTTACCAACTCAAAAGTACCATTTCTGCGTGATCCGTGCTCGAGGGAGAGAAGGAGACAGGGAGTGGGAACCCCCTGCCCCATGCCCATGAGAAATGAGGAAGTATTTATCGCTTTACAGCCAGGGAAAAAATGAGAGAGTACATCAAAGGGAGGTGTGTGGAGAGATGAACTTGCGCGAGGTGTCATGTTAAGGGAAAGGTGAGCCAAGCAGGTCAAGTTCATTCATAGACAGGAATCAGTGTTCTTTTTAACCTTCTGTTTCTTTTTCTTTCCCTTTCCCTTTTCGTTGTCTGGCTTTCTTTTTCTTTTTTTTCTTCCTTAATATTAACTTTAACTTTGACAGGTTTTTTAAAGCAATGTATTAAACTTACTCTGTAAATATTTGTAGTTATTAACTTTGGGTTTATGCTGTATGCATATTTCAATGTATTTGTGTCCCCCATTAAAATGTAAGTTCTTCCAAGTAGGCATTGTACCCGCTTTTTTTTTTTTAAACTTGTATTCCCAGTGCCTGGTACTTAGTACTTACTGATACAACCCATAAAACTTGTTTTGTTTTCCTTTTCCTGCAACAGGGCCCACCTGGATCTTAATTCACTTGATTACCAATATATACCTGGTGTGTTAAGTTGTTGCTGGGTTCTTCTGATCGTTGTTTTTGACCTGAACTGTGATCTCATCAGTGTAGGGAACTCCAGGCATGGAATATCCCCTCCTAATGCACAAGGCAGATCTGCACCTTTTCCTAGAATCGTGTAGGTCACTGAGAGGTTAAGTGGCTTACCCACGATCACAAGGCCTGTTCCTATTAGGGGTAGAATTTTAAAGCAGGTCTTCCTGTCTTTGCAGTCACCTCTCTAACAGTTATTTCTTTCACATATCTTTATTATCATTAATAATGCCATTCACTAACATTTATAAGTCATACTACCGTCTGGGTTTGCATATCCCTTTACAAACATAATCTTAATTGATACAAAGTAATCAGCTAACTTTTATTAAGCACCTATTATAGGCAAGAAAGTAGAGAATACAAAACTACATTACCCTTAGGGAGCTTACAATCATTTTGGACAAATCAGTACCAACATAAAAACAGATAATTTAAATGGAAAGAACAATAAAACCATTAAAACAGAATTCCATGAAATGATATTGACCAAGCTTTGTCTCAATGAAGAGATATCATCAGAAGATATTTCCACTGCCACCATTTCTTTGCAGAAGCAAGGCATTATTCTCATAGAATACTGAATATAATGTTAGACTTTTATTTTGACATGGTTAATTCTGTGTAACTTTATAATTTTTGTTTATCTTGTCTCTATTCATTATTACAAAGTAATACTAATAATAGGTAACATTTATATAGCACTTATTATGTGCCAGACACTGTATTAAGCACTTTATAATTATCTCATTTGATCCTCACAAAAACCGTGGTACTATTATTATTCCCACTTTACAGAAGAGGAAACTGACACAAATAGCAATTTAAGTGATTGGACCAGGGTCACATAGCTAGTAAATTGAAGTCAAATTTGAACTCGAGTCTTCCTTACACCAGACCTAAATACTTTATCCACTGCAGTACCTAGCTGCTGGCTCTCTGGTAGTGGGAGCTCTCTAAGGGACAATAGTTAGGAATACAGGTGATATAAAAGCAAACGATAATAAAAATTTCATTTTAAAAAAACCCAAATAATTAGCAATAAAAGAGAATATATAATGAGTACCAAAAGAATGGTACAAAAATGGAGGACAACTGGTCAGGGTGGGGTGGTCAAAGAAGGCTTCCCCCTGGAGAGTAGGATTTATGGTGGGCCTTGAAGAATGAGCAGAATTCAAAGAAACAGAGGGAGGAAAACCCCAAGGGTCCTTTATAGCAAATTATGGTAGGTACATCACCATCAAACCAGAAGGGTGCTTCTATTTTTTGCTGCAGAGGAAGCACCTGCAAAACTCAGCTTGCAGTCTTTACAGCAGGACATTTAATCAAGATTGTAGTTAATTGCTTTCATTGTTGGTTTCGGGCTTACATCACTAAAGAACTTGGAAAAATTGTTTGTTTCATGATTACACATTCCAGGTTAGTGACATAGCCACTGTAAGGGAGGAGCAAAGAAATGGTTGGTGGATAAGGCTCTTAAGCTGACTGAAAAGGCCTGGACTTGGTCGTCCCTTGATTCTATCATCCTAAGTAGCTAACTTTTCTGTACTGAGAACTTTGGTCTTTGAGATAGGTATAATATGCAAAATGTGGTAAAAGGAGGGGAAACTGACATATACATAAAATTATTTTGAGCTCTCTAAATAAAAGGTCCTCTGTAAATATTAGCTAAATGATGTTTGACAAATCAATTAGCCTCTCTGAGACTCAGCTTCCTCTTCTGTAAGATGTAGACAATGATAATCATGCTACCTACTCTAAGGGGTTATGTTGAGGAAACCAGTCAGTAAACTGTGAGGTACAACATGCATATGAATTGTCAATCTTATTCTGTTAACATTTTCTCAGCTGCAATAAAAAGCAGACTTTCTGAAGCTATGTTCTATGGAAATGTGAATTTCTGTGAAACAGATCAATAGGTTCCATGAGGGAAAAATATGTTGTTATAGTAGAGAAGTATACATGCAGACCAATCCATTTTGTTTTAGTCTGTGTTTGTCGTGTACAATGTGTATATGTCCTCCATGGGGAGACTATGTAAACCTAGTTGAAAGCAATCATTTGACTGAAAAGCTGACTTCTTATCAATCTAGACTCAATCAGTGAATTTGTCCAAAAATGAATTGTTTATTGTCAGTATGCCCTGGCAGAATATGTGTAAGATAAACTGTACCCAATAATAGTCTTAGCTTTTTAAAAATAATTAGCATGTAATCTCAGTTCCAAAGCCCATTGGTATGGGACGCTCTCTTTACTGGTGGAGAGCAATGTCCTTCACCTGTGTATGGGGCAGGGTGGATTTGGTGAAATGGGGAGAGAGGAGAGCTTTGCAGTTTTTAGACTTTCTGCAACCTTCAAGTAGCTTTGGGCCCTGCAGTCAATCTGGGGGCTTCTGGCTTCCAGTTTTGAGAAACAGAAGATGGATAAGGCCAACTGTCCTTCAGGTTGCTGAAGGAAAGACTGAGATGATATGAGAAAAACTGACACTCTCCATCATGCCCCTATCCCCACCTTGATATACTAGAGACTTCAGAGAACTTTTCCTTGGGTGAGATCTAGAACTCTCTCTGTCTCTGTCTCTGTCTCTTTCTTTCTCCATATTCTCCGATGTATACTTTCTCTGATTTCTGTTTTGCTACCAATTTGGATAAGTGGGTTTCTTCACTAATTGTTATATATGTGTTCACTGTGGAGCAGGTATTTTTTGGCAAAGGAGTCAAGCCTCGTATGTAGAGCTTGGAGTCTCCCAGAGCTTTCCTCTCCTGTTCTCACCAACTCCTCCCAGCCCTCACTCAGGTGTATGATGTTATCTCCACCAGTAAGAAGAGAGTCCCTCACCAACTGGCTTTGAGACTGGGATTACAAATATTTATGTACCAACATAATATGGATAATTGAGTGAAATCAGAATTTTTAAAAAGCAAAAAAAAAAAAGGTTGATAATTGAGGCTGATGATGATCCAAACATTCACAAACCTCAGTCAGTACCCAATATATCAGAAACATTAGTACAACAATTATTGATCTATTTGAGGTTCTAGTAAACCTGATGTGCAATGTGTGATATTACCAAAACTTAAAAAAATTAGTTCTATAAGTCTGGTAAAATTACAAAGGCATTTATCAATTAAGCAAAATGGATTTTAAAATAAAATTCTCAAATTTTTTTCAAACAAAAATGTGACAAACTAAAACCGTCCTTCCAAACAGATGATGAAACAGCAGAGAAGAGGGATCTATGGGAACAGAATGTTGTTGCTTATATCAGGTAAGGCTAATGTGTCAGTTTGGCTTAACTTTTCCTTTGTTATAAAGGATTCAATGGGAAAGGCAGAGAGTGGGTTCATCTTAAATGACTCCATATAAAAAAGCTTCAGTAAAACTTTTAAAATAAAAACAAATAGAACATTCCCTCCAAAATGGGGTGACAAGTAGGCTTATTGAAAATAAAGGAAAAAATGAAAATTGTGATGTGTCTTTACAAGAGGAGTTATCCCAACATTCTTCCCAGTTATCAAATTTATTTATAGGACTCCATTAAAGCCCTCATCATGGTGTGTAGGTGACCTGGGATTCTTTCTTGAAGGCTGTGTTAGCACAGCAGTGAACAGGCTCTGATACCTTTTACAGAGCTGGAAAGACTTCCAGTATGGTCCTGATAACAACAACTACGTGTCATCTGAAGACCAACCTAGCTAAGTAAAGAGAGGTTCAACAGCAAGATGACTGCTGAGTTCCCCAGAACCATAGACTAACCCACAGAGAGGTTCATATCATCACAGAATTCAGTCAAGAAGAGAACTTTGAAGTTTTACAAATGAGAGACCCACAGAAGGAAAATGGCTTCCCCAAGA